AAAAGAAAAGAAAGAAGAAAGTAACAAAAAAGAAGAAGGAAGAAGGAGGGCGAAAGAAGAAATGCAACGGGGACCGGAGGAAACAACAGAAGGAAGAGCTAAAAGGCCGAAAGAGGCAAGAAAAACAGAAAGAAGGGACAATGTCATCGCGCGGCTTGTCATCGCACGGCTTGGCAATGCTGGCTTGGCTGCGTTCTGAATGCAGCAGGCCGCAAAATGAAAGCTTCTTCCGGCATTCGCAGAGCATCCACACTCACGCGAGCCAGCTCGCGCAGCGTGCAGAGTGGCGAGCGCGAGGTGACTTGCTTAATGCGACTTGCGCAGGGCGACTTTGGTTGTGTGTTTTGCGTAAAGTGCTTCTGCAGAGTGGCTTCCATGTGCCACTCGTAGATAGCTGACTTGCGGCTGGCGACTCGCAGTGACTTCGGCGAGGGGCTTCACTGACTGACTTGCGCGCAGTGGCTGTGAAGAACGCATGACTTAGAGCGATTTGCAGAACGACTCGCGACTTGCGGAGAGGTGCTTGCGTAGAGGGCCTGGCGTAAAGAGATTCGCGCGCAGTGACTTACTTGCTCAAAGTAACTTGCGCAGAGTATCTAGCGCAGAGTGATTTAGGTAGAACGGCCTTGGCTGGCGCGCAGCGATGCGAGGACAGTGACTTGCGCTCAGGAACTTGCGCAGGCTTGCGCTGAGCAACCTGCGCAGAATGCGGAAATTGACTTGCGCAGGGCGACTAAACACCCATGGAAGCTTCCGCGCAGCATATCGCAAGCTGTGGTGCCGTGGAAGCAAAACCAGATGTCACGCAAGGTGCGGAATCCCCGCGGCTTGCAGCCCCAGAGGATGACAAATTGTCCTTGTAGTTTTGGTCACCGCCCGAGTGACTTGCGCAGCTTGGCTTGTGTGCAGTGGCTTGCGCCGAATGACTTGCGCCGAAGCTGGCTAGCAGAGAGGGGTTTGCGTAAAGGTTGGCTTGGGATCGATTTGCGCGGAGGAGCTCGCGCGGAGAAACTTCTGCAAAGTGACTTGCGCAGAGAGCAACTCGCAGAGAGCGAGGTTGGGCAGAGAAATGTGCAGACTTGCGCGGAGCGATTTGTGCAGAGTGAGTAATTTGCATAACAGAGTGAAGAGAGAGCTGCGCAAAGTACCTTACACACAGAAAAGTTGGTTTGCGCAGAGAGAGACTAGCGCAGATTGACACCTGCAAGTAGTTTGCGCTGAGTGTTTGGGAGAAGAAACGTGCGCAGCGCGACTTGCGCGGCGTGACTTGCGCAGAGTGACTTGCCTGGAGTGACTTTCTCGGCGGAGGAAGGGGGTGAAACGCACAGAGCCACCTGCGCAGAGCGACTTACGCAGAGTGACTTGCGCAAAGGGACGTGCGCAGAATGACTTGGGAACGCGGAGTGGTTTGCCGCAGAGCGACTTGCGCAATGTGCTTTGCGTAAAGTGACTTGTGTATGGTAACACGCGCAGTAACTTGCGTGTGGAGAATATAGCTTGCCTGGACCTTGCCTGTGCCCAGAGGCTAGGGCATTGGTTTCCGAACAGTTTGGCTTTTTGTTTCAAGCAACCAGCCAGTGTTGAGTTTCTGGGCCAGAGCTTCGCAGCAGCCTACCCATGGCTGTCGGGAACCCAATGATCTTCATGACCGCTCAGTCGACTTAAGCGGTGAAAACAAAAAAAGCCAGCGCGAAGCCCGCCTGAGCGGTGGCCTCAGGCGCTGTCTTTTTGGAGTGGCTTGGGCGAGCAAGCGAGCTCTTCATTGTCACACGTGCTTCAAGCTGGGAACGTGGTTGGGCCAGACTATAATTCAGAAGGAAGAAGCGTCAGTCGCCTTGACTTAGAAATCTTACCGTAAATTCGTTTATTTTGTTGCTCAAAATTGCAGTCTGCTTTGTGGACTGCCTTGGCGCTTGGAAGTTGTAGTTTTCTACTTGTGCTGCGGAAGCGACAGAACTTCGTGTGCTACTTTCGGACTTACAAATTGATTTGCGCCGACAGCCGCCCAGACCCGGGGCCCCCGAAACCCACACTTGGGGTTTAGAGGCGGCTTTGCAAAATTCGGGGCGGCTTTGGGGCCTTCGAGGCCACTCTTACATGTGCGCCCAACTCTTACACTTGCATGGTTTTCGTAACTCCATGCTCAAAGCAAGTGTAGCGTATCTGGAGTTTGGGGAATGAGAGAGCGAAGAAATCGGACAGAAGGAGAAAGAGGGAAGAAGAACCAAGAAAAACAGGAGAAACAACAAGGAAGAACAGGCGAACCATATTTAGGAAATAATGAAGAAGAACGCAGGGAACACAAGCAAGAAGAACGAAAGAGAAAGAGAAGGGGGAAAAGAGAGAGCGAGAGAGAGGGAGTGAGAGAGAGGGAGCGAGAGAAGGAGAGGGGGAGCGAGAGAGTGAGAGAGAGACAGAGAGAGCGAGAGAGGGAGAGAGAGCAAAAGAGAGAAGAGATAAAGAAAAAAGAACGTTAAAGAGGAGGAGAAGGAGAAGGAGAAGGAGAGAAGCAAAAGAGAATTTGAGAAAGAGAGAGAGAAAAGAGACAGAACGAGAGGAGAAGCGTGCTCCAGACTACAGTTCTTGCATTTTTGTAGTTCACGCCGGTTTGCGTGAAGATGTGCCAAGCGGCACCATGTGGCACTTACAATTTGCCATTCCCACGTGCTTGCCAGCTGCAGGCGGACATGGAAGAAGCTTTCCGTAGAATGCTAGCGTGCTAGGTAGCAGCACTGCCACAGCAACTCCAAGGGGCGCGCTTCCCACAGGCCAGAAGACGATAGCGAGTGCGAGAAGGACATCCACAGGCAGGCTTGGTGGCGCTCGCTCCATCTCAGGCAGCCGCCCGTCAGCTGGGTTTGAGATGTTTGGGGATGAATGTGTCGATCCCGGAGAGAAAAGGAAAGAGACAACATCAGCGGAACAAAACCTGCCTCCGATCAGCTTGCTCCAAAGTTAGACCTTAACGAGTAGCACGCGCAGCAGTCGGGTGGTTAAACCCTTGCTCCACGGTTTCAGCGCCTACGGCGAGTGGAATCTAGCGTGTCTCTGACCGTCAGTCTGTTGGACTCACTCCAAGCAAGAAAGAGCCCTGTACTGCCGCAGGCCCGGGCCCTCGTGGCAGAAGGGCCCAAGAGGTTGCGAGACGCACGTGGTAACATAGCGACGAGAATCCGGCGTGTGCGCTTCCCCTGCGCTGCAATGCGCCGTGATGCTCAAGCGTTGCAGCCTTGGCCCATTGTGTTTCGCCGAATGACAATTCAGCAACTAGAGCTAGCCCTCCTCTATTCGATCAGACCTGCAAACCTGCGCACCATGCTTTGGAGGTTTTATGCCAGAAGGTCTGATTTCTTCGTGTTGGGTTTCTGTGACTTGCACGATGTGTACCCACTCCCCGGCCGACCGCACGCCGGTCATCTGCCCTTGCCTGTCTTGGGCCACACGCCCACCCTCGAAGACGTGTCGCAAAAAAAAACAGAAGGCGCAACCATGGGGGGATGATAGCGGTTCGGAGACATGACAAGGGCATAAGGTTGGCTGTATTTTGGTGTCCGTTGGTCTGTGACATGACGAAACACACTGCGTCCGATTGAAGCCTTCAAGGCACATGCTGAAATCCCACAGTCTCTACACAGGCCTGCTATTGACATGACCTCACCGTGGGTATGTTTGGTGAGTGCTGGAGTTGCACGTGACCGACTCTTGCCGCCCTGCAGAAACTGTGGAAAGATGGCGACACCAGGTTGCCGAGAATGACTGCAGGGCAGAGGAGCAGCCTTTGTTTCGTCATGTTACGCTGGGTCAGCGCAGAGTTGGCCAGGCCTTCAGAAAGCGAGTGCTGAAGGCGACTCATGGCTCAAGGCAGGTGACCCATAGTGATTGGACGCGTTGCGCAAGTGCGTTGAGGCAGAAAGAAGAGCGTGCAAGCCTTCCCAGAAGCGAAGGCAGGCGCTCCATAAGCCGCGTGAAGCGGGCTTCTCAGACAATCACCAGTTCAATGCTTCGAGCATTGGCGCCTCGCACCCTGTTTTGGCTGAGGAAAGGAGGCCCCGGCATGGGCTCCCAAGAGAAGGCAAGCTTGCATCTTGAGAGCGGAAGCCACAATGCCAAGCACAAACTGAGCCGATCCCACATGAGCGTGAGCGAAGCTATCATGCTGCTTCAGCGTGGCCCTGAGGTGCAGACAGACAGTTCCCGCCTCAAGCAACCGTTGCGGCTGGCGCGGAAGAAAGGCAACAAACCAAAAGCACAACTGAGCACACCGACCAAGCACCAACCTGGACGGCCAATCACATTATAATATATGATTCGAAGTTGCACGTTCTTCCGTTGCGTGGCCTCCATGCTCGGGGTTTGCGACTAGCCACGCGTTTGGGTGGCCACCTTTCTTTTGCACCTGGGCGCTGGCGCCGGGCCGCCGACTGCTCAGTCAGTCTCTCATGGTGGCTCATTGCCAGCAAGGCCCTTTGGTAAGATCTTTACTTTGTGTTTGTTTGTTGGTTGCTGGCAGCTGCTGAACAAGCTTTGTTGTGCGGTTGCAGACGGATCATTCAACCCATCCTTGCCTCTGAGCGCCCAGCGCAGGCTTGCGCTGAACTCGTCGCAATGCGCAGCATCACTTGTCGAGACACGGAGTTGCCGTCAAGACTCTGCAAGCCGAGGCAGACGGGGCAGCGCCTTGTCAGCCACCAGCCCCACCTCCAGCCTTGCACAGGGCTCAGCAGTCATGTGTTTCCAAATTAGAGATTGCGCTTGTGCGCAGGTGCGGTTATGTTCGCTAAGCTTCTCACAACAGCAGCAACAGTGGCGGAATGAAACCTCAATCCCCCAGACACCAGCTTTTATGTTGCGGCCAGACGGTGTGTGACCAAACAAGTGTATATCGTTGCAACTATAGCTTTACCCTCGCGTTAGATGGTGCGCGCGAGATGTTTGCAAGGCTGACGCGAGAGATCGCTTCCTTACGGCGCCGTTAGGTGTCGCCCAGTGTCGAGCAAAGATACGCTCATGATACTGAAGGGCGTAAAGCTGTGACTCCCGACGATTCAAAGCGTGGAAAGGTCGCCATCAGCACATTGGTTCAAGCGCGCGTCAAGAGCGCAAGCAGCAGGGGACAAGTCTTGCCTTGCCACAAGGTCCGAAGTGGCCAGCTCAAGCTGAAGGCCGATGTAGAGACAACCAGCGAGTGATCGGAGACAATTGTGGCGGGTTCTTGTTGTTTGCTCAAGTTATCTCACTGCAGGATGGGCTGAGCCGCAGCATGCCGTGCTTGCGTGGGGTGCTCAGCCAGCGAGCTTGCCTAGAATGGCTTTTTCATGTTGAGACGAATGAGTCAGATCTGCTAAACACAGATACAGCGCTCTTCAAGTTGGATCCATTTTGAGAAGTGCTGCTGTGCAAACGCATCCTGCTTTCATCTACCTGGACCGTGCGCGGTGTGGAGATTCTCCCTGCGTGGAGTTGCGCTGAAGCGGGAGCGCAGGTCGTGCTGCTAGCGAGATGTGGAGCCAAAGGCGGCAGATGTCGTAAGCTTCTAACGCAGACCTTACGCAAGTGTTTGTGGGGCTGTCTCTTTGACAGGTGGCAAGCTAGCCAAGTCCATGGTCAGGCGCGAAACCCGCGCACACACACAATCACATGCCCGCGCGCAAATACAATCACACACACGAGCGGACGCAAACGCAAACACACAAACACAACCGCACAAACTTGCGCAGACGCGCGCAAACACATACGCACACAAACACACACACACACAAAAACACACAAAAACACACAAGCACACAAACACACAAACACACAAACACACAAAAACACACACAAACACACAAACACACAAACACACAAACACACAAACACACAAACACAAACGGGGTGGGTGGGTGTGTGTGTGTGGGTGTGTGTGTGTGTGTGTCTGTGTGTGTGGGTGGATGGGTGCGTGCGTGCGTGCGCGCGTGCGTGTGCGCGTGCGTGTGCGTGTGCGCGTGCGTGCGCGTGCGCACGTGGGCGTGGGCGTGGGCGTGTGCGTGTGCACGCACGGGTGTTTGTGTGGCTGCGTGTTTGTGTGTTTGTGTGTTTGTGTGTTTGTGTGCTTGTGTGCTTGTGTTTTTGTGTGTTTGTGTGTTTGTGTGTTTGTGTGTTTGTGTGTTTGTGTGTTTGTGTGTTTGTGGTGTTGTGTTGGTGTGTTGTTGTGTTGGTGTGTTGGTGCGTTTGTGTGTTTGTGTTTGTGTGTGTGCGTGTTTGTGTGTTTGTGCACCCACCCACCCACCCACCCACCCACCCACCCACCCACCCACCCACCCACCCACAAACACACGCACGCGCGCAGGCACGCACGCACGCACGCGAGCACGCACGCACGCAAGCACGCAGGCGCGCGCCCACGCGCATGCGCACGCGCAGGCGCACCCGCACCCGATGCGGACGCGCGCGCACACGCGCAGGCAAGCACACTCACACGCGCACACACACGCACACACACACACACGCAGGCACGCACGCACGCACACACACACGCACGCACGCACGCACGCACGCAGACACACACACACACACACACACTTATCTCGAGAGGCTGCTCTTGCAGACACGCGATTGTACTGAAAGGGCATGAAAAAATCAATCTGCAGTGCAAATTAGGTCACGAAAGGATGGCAGGTACGCCGGAATGGCCAATTCCGGTATCCCGTCTTGCTGCCTAGCTTTGTTAGACCAGGTCAGCAGCAAGACGCCTGGTCCCCCTGCTTAACGTCCGTGTTCCAGGACGGTTCACACACACAAGGCCCCGGCGGGGCGGACACGAACCACACAGAGGGAATTCCACCAGGGGGCCGCCAAAAACCCCGCGGCAACAGCAAAAGAATTTCAAGGACAAAAAACCGGGCGCACAAAACCAAGCAGAGGGAATTCCACCAGGGGACCTCCAAAAACCCCCGGCAACAGCAAAACATTTTCAAGGACGAAAAACCCGAGCGCACAAAACCAAACCGAGGGAATTCCACCGGGGGACCGACAAAAAACCCCGCGGCAACGGAAAAAGGTTTCGCAAGGCGTCAATGGTGCAAATGCATGCGAGCACAAAGGGGTTCTCAGAGGTGCCTGTCAAGTGGCCTCATGAAAGTGCCTCATGTGGCTATGCCGATGAATCTGAATTGAACTCATCCGAGACGAAAGCTTCCATAAACACCCCGAATTGCAGAGTTGGTGTATGACCAACTCGTCACTGGCGCATGAAGCTTAGGAACCTAAAACCTCGTGGGCGCAGCCTTGCTTCAAAGGCAGGCAGTGCAACGCACATGAAACCAGCAGAGCACCGTTTGGGTGCGGAATACCTTAAGACCTCAAGTTGCAGCCTTGATCGTGGTCAAGCGCGCTGAACGGCAGGTTGAATTTGAACGTATGAACGGTCTTCCCCTCGCAGGGGGCTCCCGCATGTGGCGAGTCCAGCCCACAGCGCCATGTCGGACAGGCCGTGGGTAAACACACTTATCTCGAGAGGCT